AACATTTAGTATAAAATAATTAAGAGTTTTAAACGATCGTGTAAATATTTAAAAACTGTGAAATCGATTGATCCACTCATCTGTTTCTTTACGCTGTATGTACAGTCTACCAAGTCAGTGACATCATATATGATCTCTCAGTGCAGTGAGATCAAGTACACGTTGATTACCTGGAAAGACCTGGAAAGTTTAATAACATCGAAATAGATCACAATCAATGCATCGTGAAGTATTTTTTGAAGCAGGAATTACAATAATTATTATTACGTGTTTGGTAGCAGAGATTCTCTGAATTAATATTTCATTTCGCTTGTGTAAATTTTCGTGTGACGTCACAGTTGTTTTTCCCGTTCTCAGAAAATGTAAACATGAAGCGTTTTTACCACGCTAATGTCTTGTTCAACTATGTCCTCTGTGATAATGAGGTAAGCTTCACCTTACGATATTCCTATAGTTGATTACTACGAAGAAGGACTTCAGTTCAGTCGTAAATTCTTAAATTTCTATTGACAGAATTATTTCCCAAATGAATTTTTTGTCGCTGAAGTTGTCTTGAAAAGTGCTTAATTTATCTAATCCATATACATTGTGTAACAGGAAAAAAATGCTTTAAGAATTTTAAAATCTTTATATTTTGAATACATGAAGAGATAATGTCCTTATACATATTTTTTTTTGTTTGTGGCTTAAAAGTTTCCATTATAGACTCAGTAATGGACCCGTAAACACGAAGAACCAAAACTTTATAGTGACACTGTACGGAGCGATATTTGTATGGCGATATCTCTTAAATAAGTCAAGAAATCTGATGACAGAATTGTTTTAAAATATGTAGGACATAATAAATTAAAAATATACAAATAATGAAAAAATTGACTGACTAGATTTTTTATAGCTCAAGGCCCTGTTCCTCCTTAAAGCAGTAAACTATCTCCAGTTATGATTGTCAACCCAGGTAAGGGGATTTCTGAACTATGTAAAAGTAAACATGTGGAATGTCAACACATGACCTAACTTATAAAAGACAAATAATAAACTGGTTTTACGTAAGTAACAACTGAAAACATAAGGCACAGTGTAAATAGAATTATCAGAGTGAAATACCAACAAATACTTGTAAAATATCATTTACGAAACCAGGGCTATAGAAATGAAAAACAATACCACTACGAAGGGAACACAAATTGTGAATATTATATTTCCTGATTTGTATTGTTTAAATTGACTTTTTAGCTTGAATACGGTTCGTTATCTACATATATTATACATTCATGTAAATTATTTGAATCTGATTCGTCGAGAAACATTTGTTAAAAATCACTTTTACCCGCTGAATAATGAAGCCACGCCCTCCAGCATAGAAACAGTTAACATTGCTTGATGACGGGTGTTATTAAAATTCTAAGTTATAGTTACACTATAGATACATGTATTAATTGGAGGAGCCCCGAGTGAATAAAAACTGTGAGTGTATTTACCGCTAACCAATTAATATCTAATGTGTAAGTTATTTGTACCAGAGGACCAATGAGAGAAAAGCAAGTTGATAATTAGCACCGCCTACTACGAGGTGTCAAGCCCCGGTCCGTAATCATCATTTGCCAATTGAAACAGGTAGATGGAATAATATTGATAGAAATTTAAGAATATGTACCATTTGTGATTGTAAAACTATTGGTGATGAATTTCATTATGTTATGGAATGCAAGTTTTTTTCGAATGACAGAAAAATATTTCTCCAAAATAGATATTGTAAAAATCCTAATACAGGTTCTGGTGCTACATTTAGGACTCAATTGATCATTTAGGAAATATTGACTATTCTTTAAAAGAAGTTATTCCTCTTTGATTATTCACCTATGATAATTACTCATTGAAATAATGTAATTGATAGTTTCCTTCCATGCAAGGATCTTATGAATTTGTTCATACAATTGACCTAGATGTTTTGAATCAAAAATCAAATAAAAGATTCAGTAATTGCAGAGTTCTATTCACTAAAATACATACATATATACAAAGTCAAAAATATTACAACAAATAAATTATTAAGAAATGTTTAAATAACACAGTTACATTAGCTATAAATGAGAAACTGACAAAATATCTCTTTAGAAATAATTGTAGTAAAATATTTCGTGAACAGTAAATATATTGTCGGACTTGTCGTAAATAGAAGAATCATGGTTTAATTTTCATTTTCAGTGTGTTCTTATTTTTCATTATTATGCTTCCTGTCAGTTTGTCTCTATATAATCAATACCCAACTATTTTCGCATAGTGTTCTAAGGATTTATATAGCGTAAGCATACTATGCCGAAATAGTGCACGGCTGTCTTTTCTAGAGAAAATGTATTTAGCACCCACGCTGGGGATCGAACTCACGATCTCGAGAACGTCAGTCCAACGCGTTAACGATTACGCCACAAACACCGCTACTTTAGGGAGTGTATTTTCAAGTATATAAACGTAGTTTTTATACATTTGTCACAAAACAAGAAATAAATGAATATAATTTCTATAAGACTGATATTATTGATAAGGATCTTAAAGAAAAATTCTCTAACAAATAATCGAATTTTTCAGTAACCAAAATTGCAACGTAACATGAACTGGTTCTTCGGAGTCAATAAAACGCTTTTTGATATAACGCTTGATCAAAGAATGTTCAAGAAAATTTTCATTTAGATTTAACGTCTGCAAACAGGTTTGAGGTTGAGAATTTAATTAAATTGTCGTATACAAACAACAGTCAGCATAATAATTATAATAGTGTTATTATTTGGATGTACTATGCCGAAATAGTAGTCAGGGTTTGACACATAGTGCACTCGCCTCCGGCTCGTGCACCATGTGTCAAACCCTGACTACTATTTCGGCATAGTACATCCAAATAATAACACTATTATATAACTATTATGTGGTTGATTTCATAAATTCAATAAAAAAGCAGTTAAATTCCTTCACTTAAGCAAATTTTTTTTCAGTACAAAAAAGACAATATGTAGCAAAATATGTCGAAGTTTCGAAGACATATACACAAACCTGGAAAAAGAACCATCAGCTGTTCTTCTCCAAATCAGTAAGGACCCTTCTTCATATCGTCCTTATATGTTGTCAACACTTTTTCTAGATCACGCGGAGATAATTTAATGTCGAAGTAATTTTGCAACACATCTCGAGAAATTTATGCCACTTTTTCAAACATCTCCCAGTTCCGTTTTTTCCTTACTCTTCAGTAGACACTTCAATATTTAAGATGGAAAAGCTCGTACAATAACTGGACAAAGATTATTATCCTAGATAATATATTTTTTCTGAAGTAATGTTCAATTCAACTCGACACAATATTTCAATGCCGTTAAAACACAAAAGGTCCAACTCCATAATGCTGAACTTGCAGCCATTTTCTGATGGTATCAAGTCAGGTCTCCATCCCTTGCGGGTTTTTTTATTCGAACATTAACACGAATTTTCGCCAACACGAATCTGTGATTCGTCGCTCAATATTACTTTCGACCACATTTGTACATTCCACCACCTCATCTTCCTATTTTCAAATACATGGTCATCTCATGCTAAAAGAATATAATTAAGAATAGAAATGTGGGTTTTATAATCAACGAATCAGACGTCAAAACATAAATGAAAGGAAAATTTATTGGACATGTACTAAACTGTTGTCATTGAAAGATGATTTTTGTTCCAGTATATAAAATCCGTTCAACTAATATACACTGCATTTATTTTAATACAGATGCATCTAGATCTCTTTTTTTTAAGTACAAGGAAAATTTATACGTTATAACAAGGACACAATATTTTCATGGCGTGCAAATTAAAAATATGTATTCGTATCAAATCACAGATATCATTGTTATTTTTCCTTTTAGACTGACTTAATCATGTATGATTCACTGACCCTTGTACATTGTAGACGCTAATATTTTCTTAATCCCTGTAAACGTGACACTGAAGTTTACTATTAAGATTAAAAATGAAAGGTTTGATAGATACATGTATTCATTAGTATCTTAAAAATTCTTTTACAAAGATTTTGAATAATTTATAAAATCGCATCTCAACATTAGGGGTTATATTGTATCGTATTTTACTAGCATGTGATCATGATGCATAAAACTTTTTATGCATTCATAATTCAATTAAGTATAAGACTCATTTCTCCAAAAAAACAAAAAATAATAATAATTGATATTTCTATAAAACAGAGAATAAATATCCTTTTGAGAATGCTTTATTAATTTAAATATACAAATAGACAAATAAATATGTGACAAACATGTAAAAGACGATGATCAAGGGGGGTAATCCAGTCTATGGGGAGGTAATCCTGTCCGGTCGATATCTGAAAAGGATATATTTGTTATTATTCATTAGATTTCAGTAATGCATAGAATCCGTTGAATATATGACAAAGGACTGCTAAAGATTCCCTATAAAAAGTGACACCAATCGCGCAGCTTTCTTGTACAAATGATTTTTTAAGACTTAATTTCAAACATCGTTTTGCATTCATATACCTTTTTTAACAGTATGAATTTGGTGTGATGAAAACCATCCATTGACTTAAAGGCAGTCAATTATGCGCAAAATTCTATTAGCAGTTAGCCAGTGGAAAGTATGAACCTTCATAGATTGTAAAGTAACAGTTTTAAGTGGAGAAAAAAAAAAGGGGGGGGGGGGGCTTTACAAGGCAGTGACACGATTAGCTGCCTTTTAGATGACGTACCTTCATTGTAAATACGTAAGAAAGGCTGATAACTCGCCATAGATAGAAAAAAAAAAAACCCCGATAAATATAGGGAAAGGGACATCATAAAATATATTACAGAATTTTATTTTCAACGGTATTAGTACACATGTTCAAAAGAAATTCTAATAAGATTTTTTTTAAAATTCAGCTCGTTTCCTATTTTCGGACTCTATATCTACACAGCGGTGCCTGAATCTTCCAAAGTTTTTAGACACCCTTACCTTTTTCAGTAGTAGTTTTTCTTGTACCCCATGCCACGCCCATACATTCCACCCCCGTAAGACGGGTATCCACCTATTCCGCCACCATACATTCCGCCCCCGTACATTCCTCCGCCATATGGATATCCGCCCCCGTACATTCCGCCCCCGTACATCCCGCCTCCGTATAGTCCGCCCCCGTACATTCCGCCGCCATATCCAGGATATCCGCCTCCAATTCCTCCTCCGTAAGGATATCCACCTATCCTCCCGCCATACATTCCACCACCGTAAGGAGTTGGGTAACCGTAGCCCCCGCCCATTCCATAGCGGTAACCTCCAATGGCACCCCGGGGTCCAGAAATATAGCCTCCCTGGATACCGCCATAACGCATTCCGCCTCCATAACCCGGATACGTGCAGGTTACACAGGAAAGCGTCAGGGCTACGCAGACGATCGAAATCAGGATCTTCATTATGCTTCTTGAAATTGAAAGGAGAATGAAGAAAATATTACACTATGATTTTACAGCGATTTGTGCTTTAATTTATTTAGACAAGCCAAATCTTAAAAGCAAACTTTTAGTAAAATTGATACATATGTGAATCATGCTTTTTAATGGACAACATTGATATACAAGTTGTTGTAGCCAAAACGTTATTTTTAATGTTCAAAATTAAGAAAGAAACATGCAGACGTTTTAAATAAGTCCCGAAGTACTTTAAAATTGTGGATAAAGATATAATTTTTTTTAATTTGTGAAATTTATTTATTTATTTTATTATCATTATCATTATTTATTTATTTTTTGTGTCTCATATGTCTTTGAGTGAGGATGCCAATATTTCACTTGCAATCGTAAATAAGTTATTTTATTTGTAATATTTGGCTTGTGCAGTTAAAAAAATATTCATTTACTTACTTATTCACTATAAAAGATTTTTTGACTGACATTTGAGAGAGAAATAGCAAGAATATCCTGAAGCTGTCTGGGACGTTTGGTCAATTTGTGATTAAGAAAAATTAAAGAAAGTTCAGTTAACTGCTACAAGGACCACCACTGGTTTTCCAATTTTTGCTTCTAGAGACAACCTCTGTTCATAATCAGGAATGAAAAGAAAGATATAGTTAATGTCGTAAAATTTCTTGATTATTTTCTTGCAGATAACTTTATAATTAAGTAAGGCATATAGAATATGCCTTTCAGGGTTCTGACCTAAAACATAAAAAAAAAAATAATATTTCTGATAATATCTTAATTAAATTCAAAGTTATATAATATTAGTAGTTTTACGCTAAAAAGTCGATATTCAAATTGTCAGAACAGTGTGTATTTCAGATGGATTATCTAATTATTTGAGTCTTACAGCTTTGATTTATAAATGTAAAAATAATTGTTAAAATGCAAGAAATCACAAATAGCTAAATTTTTAGTTTAGTTAAAGTTATAACAGTATTGTTACTTTTCCAATTTTAGTGTAGAAATAATTTTTAGATTGTTATGAACAGTATGGATTATACCTGAGATACAGCTTTTTGTTCAAAAGAAAAATAAATACATCATACAAAATAGTGAAAAAGGGACGTCAGCTTATTATTTTTCTCAATATTTACAGACATTCTTGATGTCAAGAACTATTCTTAAGGACAAATTATGTAAACCTTTATGAGAAATCTTAAACATGGCAACTTATACATGCCTAAATAAGTAAAATGAATAAGTCTAACTGCATTAATTTGTTTTATCATTCAAAATCCACAACAGTGGAATTTAAAGTAAAAAATTTTTGCAGAGAAAAATAAGGATGATTACAGAAAGGTAAAATTTTGAGCATAATAGAAAAGTTTACAATTTCATTTCTTAGTAGTCTAGAAATTCATTCAAAACTAAAATAAGTTCAAAAATATATAGGAATCCACGCATCCACTTTGTATTGGTCACTTCTGTCTTGACTTAAGTTAAAGATCAGTCTATCCCCCTTTCTTATTGTTCATCACCTTACCTGTGTAAATTGTATACTCCTTTTCCGTACCTGCTAAAGGAAACCCTCCCTCCTTATATATCTGGTAAGAAAGGTTTCTCTTGTAGACCAGGGAAAGTTTTCTCTAATTATCTCCATGTTATAATTAATCACCATCGGTAATTAACAAAGGCCTTACATACAAACTGACCACTACTACATGCGGTCATCGGAGATCGAGTGAGTCACGTGACCCTTGACCTGGACGACAGAGGACAAGGCAAGGTTTTGTTTCGTTTATTCATGGGATTAGATCCGTTCTTTTATCTTTGAATACAAAAAAAAAATGTTTTGGATTGAATGAATACTGAATTTAAAAAAAAAGATAAAATGATAGAATTCAGAATTATTAAATAAATGAAGGATTTATATGTGCATTATATTGGTAACAAAAATATGGTAAATAAACAAATTCTGGCAATTCAGAATTTTTCAGTTGTTATAATTTCAAAGGAATAAAGACCTGTATCACCTACAAGTAAGACACGTTAAGAATGTGTGCAACTTGGAGGGGGGGGGGGTCCAAGTCTAAATATAAAATTAAAGACACTAAATATGTACAGTGTATGTATATTTATGTCAACTTTGCAACAATTACATGCTAACATGTCGTTTAATAAAATCATCTTTATCATAAACAAAATCATTAAACAAATTCACCTTCCAAACACTTAATCTAAGTAGACAGACATCTCCTGTCAGATAAACAGAGGTTTTTTCTGGTGCGGCCTAAATTTTTCCTCTTTAAAGTGTTTGAACAACACGGAAGGCCGTAAATCTTTTTGAATTAATTATCTGGTCAACAGGTAAAAATAAAAACCAAGATTTAATCAATCTCCGGTAATCTATCTGGTCTCTTCACATAACGCGGTCTACAACTTTTAAAGATAAGATTCCTCATGTTCTCTGTTTATTAAGTTTGACAAGCATTTCCTGTTTTTAGGTTTTTTTTTAATTATATATATTGATATGGCGAAGCCCCCGGAAGCCTTTGAATCTAGAGATTTTGCATGATAAAAATGAGGTCTACCGAGTAGACATTCTTTACATTTTCTTGACGAAACTATGATTGATGCTAACTTCGACGATTTGCCACTGCTGTTGATAATATTTTCATCTAAGAAAACATCCTCACAATGTCAAGGTTTTGTGATTTCGGATCATTTCGGAGGGGGAAAGGCTTAAATGATCTTTATGACAATTTATGTTACATATAACGGTTCCCTATAACTTAGTGGCAAACATATAACCTTGACATTGTGAGTATTCTAAGAAAAGAAAAGGGCTTAAATGATAATCATGCTGTGCCTGACTAATGTGCATCAACAAGCAAACTCTAAATTTTGTTTTCATCTAAAGACATTCCTCGTTTATTTTCTATCTAAATTCGAAGCCCTTTAACGGTATATGGTGACATCTCTGTATGAATGAAATCTTCTCGAATGGGGCATAAAACAAGATACAATCAATCAATCAATCAATCAATCTATCAATCTGTGATCATAAATTGATCGTCTGTCCCATTTTTGTTGCTGAAAAAATTATATATCTATTCTGCAGCTGAAACTTTATCATGCTGTCAGCCCTCCTTTATTAGTCCCCTACCGGTGAAACCGGAGGGGACTATAGGTTTCCTCTGAGTCTGTCCGTTCGTCTGTCTGTCTGTCTTTCCGTCTGTTTAGCTGTCTGTATGTCCCTCTATCTGTCTGTCAGTCTGTCCAACTTGGTTTTCCGCACTTTTTTTCTAAACGTTGTAGATATAATAAGCTGATTTTTGGTATGTGAGTGTATCTTGATGAGTTACAGATCAAGTTTGCATTTCGTTTCGCTTCAATGATTTTTATCGGAAATACGACCTTTTCGATTTTTCAGGGTTTTACGCAATTTTTTTTTTCTAAAGGCTTGCAGATATTGAGCTGAGTTTTGGTATGTGACTTTACCTTGATGAGTTATAAATCAAGTTTTCATTTCATTTCGCTTCATTGATTTTTGACGGAATTATGGCATTTTCAATTTTTAGCGGGTACCAGATTACACTTGCCGGTAGGGTACTATATGTAGTATTGCTAATGCAATACTCTCAGAATGCTTGTTCATTACGTTTTCAACAGTGAAATACTGTGATTTATTTATTGAATAAAAGTGATATTCTCTCACAGTGTGAAAGGATACCAAAGTGATATTCTCTCACAGTGTGAAAGGATATCAAAGTAAGTAAAAAATAATTTCTGGCCTGTCATAAAATAGAGATAGTGACTAAGAATCTTGATAGAGCTAAAACTGCAAATTTCTCCCCAAATATGTTGCTAAAATCCATGCTATGTACTGTTTTCAATCACACAACTGCTAAGCTATGACGTCTCAACCGCTCAACTATGACGTCAAGCCTATGACACTGTGTTAAGAAAAGACAAGAGGCAAAGGGGAAATCAAAGAAAATGTAATAAACAGAAAATTCAATGTTTTGTAGATGAATATGGAATTTATTTCACTCGTAAAAAAAATCCTGTACCACTCATGAAATAAATTCCATATTCATCTACAAAACATTGAATATCCTCTATTTATTTCTATCAATATTCTGTAATGCTGTCACCGCGGGTTCACAAATGCGTGAAAGTCAGTCTTTATATCAGGTCTCAGTGGTTAAATCGCTGGTACGGTACGCCCGAGAACCTGGGTTCGAGTCTTTGTTGAGACTTGATTTTTCACCACCTGTGACTTTTGACACCAAACGTACAAATACCCACTATTCCCTAGGAACGTACATTATAGCCTTCCCTCCTTTAACTCCTAGAATCCAAGGACGAATTTCTACAAAGAGGGGGGGGGGGATATGAAAACGGATTTACAGGTCTCAATAGCTCAGTGGTTAGTGTGCTGGCAAAATCTAATGAATTGTCTTACCAGAGTTTAATAATGAGAACCATTATATAGTCAGCTCAATCAAATTTACAAATATTGTCTTTTGCCGAATTTTTAATACTTCATGAAATAATTTTCCTAAAACATTTAAACTCAGTTCCTTTAGATTGTTAAAATTGAGATAATTCTATATATTACTTGTTAAAGGAATTATTCATATAAGATGCAGAATTTTCACAATCAATTATTGAAAAAAATTCTTTTAAGAATATTTTAAGACAGATTTAACTCCTGTAGATGGAAAAATGCAAGTCTTGTAGATGGATGCATTTTTTACAAGCACAGAAAACATTAGGTCTTATTTTTAAAAAGCAAAGCTTCATCATGTTATCTAATATAAATTAAATAGGCACACGTATGACAGTAAGTATTATTTTTATGCTGAGATAAAAAAAAAAAAAGAATATTGACCTTTCTGTTCACTGTCTCAAATTTTCTTCATATCATGATTAAACATAATGTTCATCTCTGAAAAAGTAAGCAATGCGTCATACTTCCAACTACTTTCCATTTAAACCTTATGCTATTG